TATGGTAGAGTGAGGAAGAGGGAGAGTGGCATCACATCCTCGCGGTGCAAAGGCTGCCATGAAGCAGCCCACTGCATGAGAAATCAAACAGAGTTTGGAAGATATAGATATCTCCTGAAATGGGCCGCATAGTATTTAAGTGCTTTTGAGTGGGCCCCTCACAGAAGTACTGCTTGTATCCTTCGAGGCCCTGCTTCAGTTTGTCATGAATGGAATCTCTCATCAATCTTTATTGGCATTCCATGATAGATAGATCTTTCTCCCAACCTGTGATGGATAAAGTTTCTGACACTGAGTTCAATCTCTTCTGCAGTGTGTGATGGAATGGATCTCTAATGATGACATTTGAATGTTTTGAGTCCCATGCTTAGAATGCATTTAAAAAGTTACCAATGATTTGAAGAGGCACCAGCAATCTGTATGTGCAGTGTTTCACTATGAAATGCTGCACATACATCAAGCATGTCAAACTCAAAGTCTAACACAGGCCAAATAATCAAGATTTAAGTTTATGTGGGGCGCAAAAAAACCCCCAAACTTCAGTTTTCATTGAAACATAGGTTTATTTAGAAAAGCACACTATAAACAAAGTCAGGTGAGGAGGTCCTCACGCTGGTAGGGCTTCAAAGTAAACAAAAAAGCAAATTTATTTTAAGCAGTCATGCATTTGCATATAACCAATGTTTCAGTCCAACTATCTTGACATATTAAGAAAAGTTTGGTAATGGGACTGGAGTGGTAAATGTATGCTGTTGCACAGCTGTAAAAAACAAATGACGTTATCTTGTTGATTTTGAAGTCCTATGGGTGTGTTCTTCACTTTAGCTGAGATCATCAAACTTAGAACCCATAGGAAAGCATTGGGAGGCTATTGTGCATGTGTGGCAAAAATCTGTGCAGCCAAACAGCATCTCCATGGGGAGCGTTCAGCGCCTCCATGCAGACACAATTCTAATACACTGTCCCATCTACTACACTGCCCCCAAATCCAATACACTGCCCCCCTCTATCCATTCTAAAACATTGCCCCCCAATCTAATATACTGCACTGTAATCAATTACACTGCCCCCCTATCTCCCTAATTTAATGGAATACACTGCCCTCCCTTCCCCAATTTAATACACTGCCCCCTTCCCTCTCCAATTTAAAACCCTTCCCCCCCCCAATTTTACACACTGCCTCCCTCCCTCCCTTAAATTAATACACTGCCCCTTCCCTCCCCCAATTTAAAACACTGACCCTCTTCTACCTTAAGATGAGCCTCTCGTCATCCAGTTCCAGCCCTGCTCTTCTCAAGCAGACCAAATGCTCATCTGGCACTACGAGCAGGAGGGAAGGGGGAGTGGCTGACCAGCTCTGCAGACAGACACCCTTCACACTGTAGTGCCGCTGCTGGATGTGACTTCAAAAGCTGTATGCGCATATCCAGTGGCCGTCGTGGGGTAATGCTTAGCGCTCTTACGGCCGTCAGAGCACGCGATTTGCCTTGGTAGGGCAGGCAGGAAACAGACAGGAAAGATTTTTCCTGTCTTGTGGCTGGTCAAAGCCACAGCACAATGTGGCCCTAGGGCAGGCAGGCCACAAAGATAGTCATCGTGGGCCACATGCGGCCCACAGCCCTCAAGTTTGACATGCTTGACGCACAAAGTTTAACCCCAAACAACTACGGCAGCTTCATTAGCCAGCCTGGAACAAGAGTTCCGCACTGGCTAATTCAGTTCTGTGTATGTCATTAGTTATCTGTCCAAAAACAATCCAGTTAATGAATAGCTACTGTACATTCACATAGCAGTGAATAATATCAGTTATTGTTAATTGGTGGTATGACAGGCTGTGATGCAGAGACTAAAGGCATATTAATATCAAAACTTTTTCTGTAATAACAATATTGTATTTTACAGTAAATCTTCTGTTCACTAACACAAGACCCAAAAAAGTGTTGTTTTATAGCAAACAGCTTGCAGCAATTATCTGGTGGGGTGCCACCTTCAATGCTATACTATGATATAATATATAATGATATAAATATATATATAATATTTGGAGTGCTCCTTTAACCAGCAAAGGAACCACCTCCGGTGCAGGCGGTGCTGAGAGGAGGAGAAGACAAAGAAGAGGTTGGAGAGAACTGAGCTAACAGACTGGACCCCAGGGAAGCTACCTTCTTGCATCCAAAAGGTAGAAAACCGGAGTGTGGCTGCAATGTTGTAAATTTGTCTGTATTTGTGTCAGTGTATGTATCTCTATGTGTCAGTGTGTCTGTGTATCTGCATGTGTGTGCATCTGTGTGTCTGTATATCTGCATTTGTGTCAGTGTGTATATGTGTACAATTATGTATGTGGCAGTGTATGTGTATACTTGCGTACATCTCAGCATTCAAATGCCAAAACGACACACATGTACCCCAGCATGCAAGCATCAACACTACATACAAATACACCCCTGCATTCAAATGTCAATACTACATACAAACCCACCTATGTAGTAAAATGCCAACTTTTTATAAAATACTCTCCTGCATTCTAAAACCAACACTGCACACAAATGAACGCCTGCATTTAAACGTCAACACTACATACTAACACACCTCTACATTCAGACACATACTTCATACACATACTCCAATAATATGCTTACATTCAAACACACGGACACTGCTCAGTGCTAAATACAATCCTGCAAGGATGGGCAAATGATAGATCTTGAGTTGTCAAAGCATTGGGATAGTTGTATGGCAGATATGGATCTGCCTCTTGGCCAACCTTGCAATAGGAACAACCCAAAAAAATGATTGCAACATAGCCTTCTCTACTTTAATTTCACCACTGCCTTTAATGCTAACAGTGACCGATACCCCCATTAAGAATATAAATATAACTTTTAAATCTTGTCCTGCGTCTTATGTCGCTGCTACTCTGTTATGTCCCAGGAAGACTTTGCTTTTAGTTTAGTTATTTTGTTCTAAAAATTTAAATTCACTTTGATCCCAACAATTATCACTATAGTAACCATGTAAATCTTCACAGGGAATGCTCATGATATTTCAAAGGAAATCATTAATTATATGCCAAATTCACATCTCCTGGGAAGAGTCCAATAGGTCCATCCATACTTTATTATTTAGGGACCCCACTCTCTGCCAATGTGTTGGTTTGGGGGGGACAATAGGTCCACCCCCCACTTTATTATTTAGGGTTTACACCCCCTGCCATTGGTTGGGGACTTGGGGTCAATAGGTCCACCCACTATTATTATTTAGGGCCCTCACCAATGGATGAAGGAAGGAGCGAGACTATATCCCCTTGTTCCATGTATTTAATAGACCGCACCCATGGCCACGGGTAAGGCCTGGATTGGGACACTAGGTCCTCCATTTAGTTTAATAGGCCACACTCGCGGGATATGGGTGGAGTCACTAAGACCTCCCCCCAGTTAATTTAATAGTTACCCCACCATGGGTGCATGGGAGACCTTTTTTATGACAGCCATACTGAGCCCTATAGGCTAAGGATGAAGGAGTTTCTATTCTTAGGTATTACAAGGAGGAAACCATGAGCTACTAGCTTCATCCTTGTAATATAAAACGAATAAACAAAATAACTAATTGCATGGATTAAATTTAATCCAACAAGCAATTGGTTCTTCGTTTCATTCATTGTAATTTGCATTTGTTCATTTGTCTTTCTGATGAATTGAGGAATAGCTAATAACTTAACCTGTCCAAAACTGAACTTCTTGTCCTTACCCCCCTCAAGTGTTGCTATGCTCGTATCTTCCTACAAATCAATGGCACTACCATCACCTCTACCTCGCAGGCTTTCTGCCTACCTCTCCTTTGCCCCGCATGACCAGTCGATTGCCAAATCCTGCCATTTCTATCTCAAAAACATAGCATGCATCCACTTCTCGGTGGACTTATGTGTACCTGACTTGTCCTGTATCAGTCTATAATGAATGCGGTGGTGAGCAGGCCCGGACTGGCCATCGGGCACACCGGGCAAATGCCCGATGGGCCGCGGTGGCCATGGGCCGAGGCCGGCAGGGGAGGTCCCAGGATCTCCCCTGCCGGTCTATGCAGGGCCGGCACTCTCCCAGCGCCGGCCCCGCTTTGTGCCACGACGGGCCGATGGGGAGATCAAGGATCTCCCTGACCGGCCCACATGCGGCCGCCGGCGGGGAGAGAGGGAGACAGCCAGCCAGGCTGGAGAGAGGACCCGGCGGAGCTCTAACTTGCAGCTCCGCCGGGTTCCTCTCGCGAGATCTGGCGCGTTGCCATGGCAACAACCGGATCTCGCGAGAGTGAACTCTAGCCTCACAGGCTAGAGTTCACTCACCCACGAGGACCACCAGGGAACACCGCCACCCTGCCTGCCAGCGTGCCGGTCCCCCCCTCCCAGGCTAAAGGTAAGAAGGGAGGGGGGGACATAATGCCTGTTTTTTTTATTTTATTTTTTTTTATTTACCCCCCCCTACACACACACACAATAACATTTATACAGCACTCTCACACCCATCACACTCACAGCACTCTCTCACACAGCACTTTCACACACAGCACTGTCTCAGAGCACTCTCACACACACACAGCACTCTCTCACACAGCACTCTCACACCCATCACACACAGCACTCTCACAGAGCACTCTCACACACTCACAGCACTCTCTCACACAGCACTCTCACACCCATCACACTCACACCCATCACACTCACAGCACTTTCACACACACAGCACTCTCTCACAGAGCACTCTCACACACACACAGCACTCTCTCACACAGCACTCTCACACCCATCACACACAGCACTCTCACAGAGCACTCTCACACACACACAGCACTCTCTCACACAGCACTCTCACACCCATCTCACACAGGGCACTCTCACACGGCACTCTCACACCGCACCCTCACACACACACATACTGCACCCCTCACATACACACAGAACCCCCCCAACACACTGCACCACACACATACACAATACTTCCAAATATATATATGTGTGTGTGTGTGTGTGTATATATATATATATATATATACATACATACATACATACACACACACACACACACACACACACACACACACACACACACACAACACTCTTAAAGGACCACTCTAGCCACCCAGAACACTTCAGCTTAATGAAGTGGTCTTGGTGCCAGGTCCTTCTAGGGTTAACCCATTGTTTTATAAACATAGCAGTTTCAGAGAAACTGCTATGTTTATCAATGGGTTAAGCCTTCCCCCAAAGCCTCTAGCAGCTGTCTCTTTGACAGCCGCTAGAGGCGCTTGCGTGCTTTTCACTGTGAAAATCACAGTGAGAGCACGCAAGCGTCCATAGGAAAGCATTATAAATGCTTTCTTATGCGACCGGCTGAATGCGCGCGCAGCTCTTGCCGCGCGTGCACATCGGAGGAGGAGAGCTCCCCACACGGCGCTGGAAAAAGGTAAGTTTTAACCCCTTTCCAGAGCCGGGCGGGAGGGGGTCCCTGAGCCACATATGCATCACATTACACCACAAACACAACACAACTAAAACCGACCTTATTACACAATACCACACCACGACCAGCTCACTCTACACACGCAATACCACAAGCAGGCTCCAAACACATGCACAATACTCTTTCCTGGCCTTTTGTCTCCTGGTATCCATTTATAGAGACACCAGAGACAAGTTGCAAGGAAAGACAGTGCAAGCATGTTATTACATTTGCTTGCACTGTGCAGAACAAATACAGGACTTTTTTCTCATGCTAGAGCTCTTCAGCAGAGCTCTGCGCATGGTCTGCCCTGGAAGAGCATTGAACCAACATTCTCACTTTGAGAGGAGGCGTGTTTGTCATTGGTGATGACAAAACACACCTCCTATGCCCCGCCCCCTTTTTAGTGGGCCGCTGTGTTAAAAAAATGCCCGGGCCGAATTTTTCTCCCAGTCCGGCCCTGGTGGTGAGGCTCATCTTACTGCCGGCCCGCACTTCCCATGCCTCCCCCCTCTGTCAGTCCCTACATTGGTATCAAATGACGCAACTTAAAATTCTGGTACTTGTTTACAAATCTCTACACAATGATGCTCCAGCCAACCTATGCTTCCTAATACACAAGCGTAATACACGGTGTAAAGAATACACAAGCAACGTATACCCTTAATGGAAGCGAATTATGGATAACAACACACGAAAAGGACTTGGGAATTGTTATAGACAACAAACTATGCAACAATGTGCAATGTCAATCAGCAGTGGCCATGGCCAGTAAGGTATTGTCATGCATGAAAAAGGGCATTCATTCTTGGGACGAAAATATCATTTTGCCTCTTTATAAATCACTGGTAAGACCCCATATTGAATATGCTGTGCAATTTTGGGCACCTGTTCTAAAGAAGGATATTATGGCACTAGAAAAAGTGCAGAGGCGGGCTACAAAATTAATAAAAGAAATGGAACATATCAGCTATGAAGAAAGGTTAACAAATTTAAACCTATTTAGTTTAGAAAAACGTCGCCTGAGAGGGGATATGATAATATTATACAAATATATTCGGGGCCAATACAAACCATTGTGTGGAAATCTATTCACAAACCGGACTTTACATAGGACACGAGGCCATGCGTTTAGACTGGAATAAAGAAGAAGACATCTAAGGCAAAGGAAAGGTTTTTTTACTGTAAGAACAATCCGGATGTCGAATTCTCTGCCTGAAGAAGTGGTTTTATCAGAGTCCATACAGATGTTCAAACAGCTACTAGATGCATACTTGCAAAAACAGAATATTCAAGGATATAATCTTTCAATGTAGGGTAATAACTGCTTGATCCAAGGATAAATCTGACTGCCATTCTGGGGTCAAGAAGGAATTTTTTTCCTAGCTTATTGCAAAATTGTGCTTCAAACTAGGGGGTTTTTTTGCCTTCTTTTGGGTCACAGCAAAAAACAAATGTGATGAAGGCTGAACTTGATAGACGCAAGTCTCTTTTCAGCTATGTAACTATGTATGTAACTATGTAACAAGTATGTCCCGCATAGGCCGCCTACGATTCGCCGAAGACCTATGTCTATTCTCTGCTCTTAAGTGTTTAATTTTGGAGTGCTCAAGTTTATATTATACTATAGTTGCTAGATATTTTTTATTTATTATTTTAAAGTTGGTATGTTCCATGTTTAATACTTTCCACAACTACTGCTACCACACGTATGTGCTGTACCCCAACACACAATAAAAATTAGAACCAAAGTGTAAATAAGTGGAGCAGTGAAATGACAGAAAAACATTCACAGTGTCAAAAAACAGTGTTTAGGGGAGGCGACCCAAAGAAAGCTAGAATAGCTAAGTTGTAGTTATACTTATAGATCAGCAGGTGTCGCCAGCATAGAACTCTCATCACACGTATAAGAAAGAAAATCATAAATGCAGATGATAGTATAGATAGACTGTATGAATATATAACTTCACAGTATATATGTGTTCAAGCTCAATATAAGTGAGCCTAACGATATGTCAACATGATATATGCATGTTGGTTAAAATAGTCCAATGTATTAAAATCTTAAAGTGCAGAAGCAATTTATTACAAATAATTCAGAGAAGATAAAATAAAACAAAAAGAAAAAGCAAGAAACACACTATCTCTTGCAAGATAATGCTGTGAGTACATACGGCATATGCCGTACCTCACTGGCAAACTTGGTTAGTAAAGTGCATCTCGATGTAGCTGTGTTGGTATTACTGCAGTAGATCAGCTCCAGCCATTTTCGGACGGTATTCTCAGAGCTCCGCCCCCCACGTATGACATCAACGTGTTTCGAAGATTGTATTTAAGGGCATAATCATCCTTATTCAGCTGTTTTCATTTGTGTGCTTGTGAATGCCTCATTTGCATATCGCAGTCTCTGCATACTGAGTCTTTAAGCACACATAAACTTTTTAGTTGTGCAAAAGTTTATGTGCAGATTTATTAGTTTTCCAAAATAGCTACTTGCATATAAAATTAAAATCAAACAGAGCAATATCAAAAAAGAAAATATACATATGATAAAACCTCATATAGTACAGACACATACATTTAGATAAAATAACACAATTCCAGACCAAAATATAAGTGCATATTATAAAAAAGGGAAAAAAGAAAATGAATAAATTACACTTAATACCTTTAAAATTCATACAGTGTGCATGTATCAGAAGGCAGGCAGTTAAGGTGGATATGTTGACAGACATTTTAACTTAACATTAAAAAAATCTAAATAAAAAATTAAAATGTTGATAATTCCAAATACATAAAATTTTTTTAAAAATTACTTTTTTAATAAATTAATTTTATTCTCTGCTCTTATTCCCACCTCTGATGCTCGCCTTCAAGATTTCTCTATGGCTGCACCGTTCCTGTGGAACTCCCTTCCCTTCTCTGTTAAACTTCAACCCAGTCTCGACTCCTTTAAAAAATCATTGAAAACTCACTGTTTCAGGAAAGCATACCAATTAAACTGCTAACAGCTTTTACTCACTGCACCCTAATTCACCTCCTGTCAAAAATTGTCATTAAAAAAAATTACGCTCAAGCCCTCAGTGAATACTATTCTAGCAACCTTTCTACTCTACTCTTACCTTTTATGTCACTATTCCCCACTATATACCTTTAGCATGTAAACTCACTGAGCAGGACCCTCAAACCCACTGTTCCTGTGAGTCCATCTTGTTTGGTTTCAACAACATGTCTGACAGTCCACTCACTGTACAGCGCTGTGAAATCTGTTGACGCTTTATAAACAATAATAATAATAGTAATAGCTGAAATTTGGATGAAAACATGTTAGTCTGAAAACTAATGACCAGGTCTAATATTTAACTACACACAGAATTTAGCAATAGATGTATATACATACTGAAATACATTAACACAGAATTAGTACCAAGTATAAGTGAAAATATGTGACAATGAACTAAACTGCATGAAACCACCAGAAATAATGTGAGTGAAACAGAATGAAAAGCAAATGTGAAGTGTATATTATGTGTGAATAAGGTGGCTAAGACAGAAAATTGGTACCAAAGAACAAAGGGAAGAGAATCATGTGAAAGATATCACCATAGAGTCATGAAATTCAGCAGTATGTATACTATATTATTATATAACTATTATAGTATATAGTATCATTATGTAGTCAAAAACACGTAGTATTACATTATGTTATAAGTCTAATAACTAAAAAAAAATTGTAATATGTTAACTAAAATCTGCTGGTAAAAATGTGTAACAACATGTCAAACAATGTACATAATCTTATTAATAAAGGTCACAATGCATATAACAATGCAGATTTAAAAAAAAAAAAAGCTTTAAAAAAGTATAAAACAAAAAATGAAGTAAAGGAAACAAACTAATTTAACCGATTCGGAACTAAAGTGTCGTGTTCTTATCCTTAGTGATATCCATATCCAAAGACTTTTTGGATCTGCCGCAACCCATACAAAGGGGAGGGACTTGGGGGGAGCGTGGCCGCGACTCAAAGGGAGCTAGACACATGAAAGACTAGCTCCATTGGACTAAATACCTAACAGCCTGATTCCACAGCTTATGACATAACATTTGATAGGATACAGAGGCACACCATGGCGAGCAAATCCTCACTAAAACAGAGGCAGAAGACTGCACATCTGCAAATCTCTACCTTATCACCTCAGAGCAGACAAGATGACAAGATGGCGCACTCTCCGGTCTTAGAATCAAAGGCAAGTGATGTCCAACCTCCCTCAAGAACCTCAAGCTGATGGGGATATTAAACTCCTGCTGGCTGACCTAAAACAGACAATGCGGGCCAGTACAAACCATTATCTGGAAATCTATTCATAAACAGGGCTATACATAGGACACGAGGTCACACATTTAGGCTGGAAGAAAGGAGATTTCATCTAAGGCAAAGACAAGTTTTTTTTACAGTAAGAGCAATAAGGATATGGAATTCTCTGCCTGAAGAGGTGGTTTTGTCAGAGTCTATAAAGATGTTTAAACTGCAATTGGATAAATACTTGCAAAAACATAACCTACAGGGATGTAATTTCTAATTAGTGAGGTAATAGCTGCTTGATCCAATGAGACATCTGACTGCTATTTTGATGTCAAGAAGGAACTTTTTCCTAGTTTGTTGGAAAATTGGAAGCACTTCAGACTGTGTTTTTTGCCTTTTGGATCAACAGCAAAAACATATGTGAGGAAGGCTGAACTTGATGGACGCAAGTCTCTTTTCAGCTATATAACTATGTAACTATGTAACTATAATTAAACCTGTATTAACCTCATTCTTTTTATTTATTCTCCAGAATATAGCTAATAAATCTGGAACTTTCACTCTTATAGCTTCTATTTTTGCCCAAGCTTCCCCCATAGAGCTCTCTTTCAAGGTTGTTACTATAAGCGCCAAAGAACATGTGTCATATAACTCCATAATATCTGGTGAGCCCATACCTCCACTTTTAGATTTTAAATTCAAAATCTTTTTGTTGACCCTAGGTTTTTTTTTTTCAACCAAATACATTTTTCTAAGGGAGACTGGATCATCGAAAGCCAAGGTTTTGGGACCTTCAGAGGTAGCAAACAAAATATATAACTCAATTTAGGGATTATATAGGATTTTGTTACGTTTATCCTTCCTATCCACGATATCTCTGCATTTCTCAGGTCTTTTAGTTGTTTATTTATTTGTTTAATTAAAGGCAAAATATTATTCTCAATAATCTTATTTAGAGACTTTTATACCCAAATAATGTATAGTTTTTTTTCCCCTTCAAAATTATATTTTGCCTTAATCCTTGCTTTCTCGTCCTTACCTATATTTTTAGCTAGAAGGATAGTTTTATCTATGTTTAACTTAAAGTTTGAGTATTGCCCAAATTCTGATATGACTTTAATAATTAATCTATTGATGTTTCATGATCTGAAAGAGTAACCAAAATATCATCCACATAATGTTTTATATTCTTCTTGGCCTATTCTAACTCCTTTAATCTTTGATATATACTTTAATCAATCTATACGGTCCGCCTACAGACCATGCAGCCTTCCTTGAAATTTTTTGCCATAAACTGGACAAAGGGAGAATAGGTGAAGTTGTGAGAGGAGGAGACACTAACTTCATCTTAGATACTTCCTCATCAGCCACTGTGATGGCTTCCACTGGGTCAGGCAGGCAGAAGGCTAAAAAAACGCCTTAATCAAATTCACCTAGAACAGAGCTTCATAGACCCTTGGAGGGTAACACACCCCCAAGAAAAATACTTCACCCTTCACTCACTGGCACACAACTCGTACTCCCGAATAGATCGATTCCTAATACCCACCTCCCTGATTAGAAACATTGTCAATACGACTGTAGGTATTATCACATGGTCGGACCACGCTCCAATTATACTCCACCTAAATGAACAATTTCCAGCAAAGAGGAAGGGAACATGGCGTCTTAATGAGAATCTGTTTACGGACCCCCAGATATTGGAGGACATCCGTAAAGAACTTTCCTCTTATTCTGAAATCAATTCTCATCCGGACATGTCGATAGAAGCCTTATGGCTAGCTCATAAGGCATATGTAAGGGGAGTACAAAAGATAAGGAAATGAGGGAAGAGCATCCCTAAACAGGAAGCAAGTCCCATCAAGACCAGTACCCCCTATAGAACACTATATATAGAGACTTGCAAAAAAAGACTGTCTCAAACAAGGTACAAAAATAATAACATTTTATTGATAAAAAAAAAATGAGCGTTAAAAATCAAAACACCAAGTGTCAAAAGTACACCAGACTGCTATCCTATAGGAAAATGGAAAAATACTGAGAAAAAAATCAGCTCAATTTAACATCAACTAATAGCAGAGTTATGATATAGACTGGATACTTAATAAATAGTTCACTGTAGATAACAGAGTAACTAATGTAGCAACCTGAATAGCAAAAGTAACAATAAGTCTTGACTCATAGTATAATGAGAAATGGTTGTATAAATCCCAGATTGATCCAAATTTATATGCCTCTTATATGCCTTTTTGAGGGAGTGATTTGATAGCCTTTTTCCTTAAAGTAGGTTCTGAGTTGACTCGCTTTTACTTTAAAGTCGGCAACATCACTACAATTTCTACGGAGGCGGAGGTATTGGCCAACCAGGATACCCTCCTTAAGGGGCCTTGGATGACAGCTTTCCCAATGTAGGAAGTAATTCGTAGCGGTCGGTTTCCTAAAAAGAGTAGAGTGAAATGTCCCATCCTCATTAATAGAAATAGTGATGTCCAAAAAATTCATTGGGGGGCGGGGCCGGGCCGCCGGGCCGAACTGACACATTATGCATGGGCTCCAGCATTCACTGGAGCAAAAAGGCTCAAAAGGCCGATCCAGACCGCTACGAAGTCGGACATCCCGACAACAATTAACAGGGAACAGTCCCAGAGCATCTCAGACGCCGGCACAAAGCACATCGCAAGCCGGACGGGCAATGGAGGGTGAGCCCGGCCTACACGTGGCAAAGCACCTGACCGCGGTCACGAAACATGGCGTGAAACCACCGCGAGAGGCACAGCCCCGAAACATTTAAGCGGTGGGGACACCGCACAGAAGATCCCCCTTGCACCCCCGGCCCGGGGCACGGCCCTGCCTCCCCCCCCTGGCTGGTGGGGGTTATCCCGGCTGCATTGTGGTGACTCGTGCCACGGTGGGAGTCCCCGCGTGGGATACGCGCAGGCCGCCTACACTGGCAAAAGCTGTATGTGAAGCAGCAAGCCAGCAGAAATCGTCGTTTACATGGAGGCAGAGGAGTGCCCGAGTGAGGAGGCACACAGACCCCGAACAAGCGGAGACTGCTCACTGCCTGAAAAACGGCCCTCCGTCAGCCCAGGCAAGACAGATCAGGAGCGGATATGGGAAAGACCACATGCATTTTTATGGAACTGCCCTAACACAGTTCAACATACCCGGAGGACCACGGTAAAATTTTCCAGGGGGGACTGGCATGGACGGCTCATGCAGGCCCATGCGATGCTGAGCGCTGGGCGGGATCTGCGCACCGCCCACATGCCGACCGGAGCAGTGAGTGTCCCAGTCTCTGGGTATGGGAGGTCCCCGGAGAACCATGTCCCTGTAACCGTGAGCCCTGTGAAGCGGGAGTGCGCTGCCCTGCCGGCGGACCGGTGGCCGAGAGGGCTGAGTACCAGCTTTAAGCGTGTGGCCGGCAATGGGAGAGACACGGGAGTGCTTGCTCCATGGGAAACAGAGAGGTGCCGGGGAGGCGCAGGGGGCGGGAGTGCTGCGGACTATGTGGTGGGGTCCAGTGGACAATCTCTGCCCCTGAGTGCCCACGGCCCCGTGTGGGACCCGGCCGGTGGGCAGGGGGGATGTGGGGAGAGACAGAGGGCAACATGCACTTTTGAGTCTGGGGCACTGGGTGGTGATGGGGAGGTGCAGGGAAAGAGGGGCCCGTGGACTCTAGGTGTGGGAGTCATATGGACAGCCCCTGCTCCCGAGTGCCCACAAAGCTACGAAGGGCCCCGGAGAAGGACTGGGGTTGTTGCAGGGAGGACAGACGGAGACCCAGCGGCCTAAGAACTGCAGGGCAGCTGTGCAATGAGCAGCTCCCAGTGAACGGATATTGAGAACAGCCCGGCTCCGTAGCGGTTAAAAGTGTCAAAGTTATTAATATTACAGCTTTACGCCAACTGAACTGTACTGAAAACAGCATGTTATACAATATGTTAGTTTATATAATCTGTTACCAACACCACATTGCTTGCAACAGCCTACAAGCATTTACTCTCTAGACCGTTAGCATAAACATGCATGTCTTTAGAGAATTCAGGATCTGTTAGATGGCCCACATACGCATATACATTGCTCCATAAAAGATCCTGAATCCGATTAATAACAGACTAGGCGATCACAATACAGCTGGCGTAACGTCCTAGTTAATATATTTGATTTGATTATAAATACGCAAAATAGATTGATAAGGACCAGACCAGGCAGTAAGGACTTAATGCTGTGTTTATACTCCTTACTAAATGATTACTGGATTCTGCGTGCATGCATCTTCTAGTTGTTGCCTGAGTAATTAACCAGATAAATGCTACTAATGGTCTACATATAGTTATAATGGTTGGAATACAGCGCTAGTATACTGCTTTCTCACGCTTGGTCTGAAACCTAGACATTTTCGCAAAGTTAATACACGTTTAACCTACAACGTGGCATGATTGCTGAGAATTATTGGCCTCTGCGCAGGCAACCATAGGATACCTTTCATAACCTATGCAATAAGAGCTTCATAAAACTACAGGGAGTGCAGAATTATTAGGCAAATGAGTATTTTGACCACATCATCCTCTTTATGCATGTTGTCTTACTCCAAGCTGTATAGGCTCGAAAGCCTACTACCAATTAAGCATATTAGGTGATGTGCATCTCTGTAATGAGAAGGGTGTGGTCTAATGACATCAACACCCTATATCAGGTGTGCATAATTATTAGGCAACTTCCTTTCCTTTGGCAAAATGGGTCAAAAGAAGGACTTGACAGGCTCAGAAAAGTCAAAAATAGTGAGATATCTTGCAGAGGGATGCAGCACTCTTAAAATTGCAAAGCTTCTGAAGCGTGATCATCGAACAATCAAGCGTTTCATTCAAAATAGTCAACAGGGTCGCAAGAAGCGTGTGGAAAAACCAAGGCGCAAAATAACTGCCCATGAACTGAGAAAAGTCAAGCGTGCAGCTGCCACGATGCCACTTGCCACCAGTTTGGCCATATTTCAGAGCTGCAACATCACTGGAGTGCCCAAAAGCACAAGGTGTGCAATACTCAGAGACATGGCCAAGGTAAGAAAGGCTGAAAGACGACCACCACTGAACAAGACACACAAGCTGAAACGTCAAGACTGGGCCAAGAAATATCTCAAGACTGATTTTTCTAAGGTTTTATGGACTGATGAAATGAGAGTGAGTCTTGATGGGCCAGATGGATGGGCCCGTGGCTGGATTGGTAAAGGGCAGAGAGCTCCAGTCCGACTCAGACGCCAGCAAGGTGGAGGTGGAGTACTGGTTTGGGCTGGTATCATCAAAGATGAGCTTGTGGGGCCTTTTCGGGTTGAGGATGGAGTCAAGCTCAACTCCCAGTCCTACTGCCAGTTCCTGGAAGACACCTTCTTCAAGCAGTGGTACAGGAAGAAGTCTGCATCCTTCAAGAAAAACATGATTTTCATGCAGGACAATGCTCCATCACACGCGTCCAAGTACTCCACAGCGTGGCTGGCAAGAAAGGGTATAAAAGAAGAAAATCTAATGACATGGCCTCCTTGTTCACCTGATCTGAACCCCATTGAGAACCTGTGGTCCATCATCAAATGTGAGATTTACAAGGAGGGAAAACAGTACACCTCTCTGAACAGTGTCTGGGAGGCTGTGGTTGCTGCTGCACGCAATGTTGATGGTGAACAGATCAAAACACTGACAGAATCCATGGATGGCAGGCTTTTGAGTGTCCTTGCAAAGAAAGGTGGCTATATTGGTCACTGATTTGTTTTTGTTTTGTTTTTGAATGTCAGAAATGTATATTTGTGAATGTTGAGATGTTATATTGGTTTCACTGGTAATAATAAATAATTGAAATGGGTATATATTTGTTTTTTGTTAAGTTGCCTAATAATTATGCACAGTAATAGTCACCTGCACACACAGATATCCCCTAACATAGCTATAACTAAAAACAAACTAAAAACTACTTCCAAAAATATTCAGCTTTGATATTAATGAGTTTTTTGGGTTCATTGAGAACATGGTTGTTGTTCAATAATAAAATTAATCCTCAAAAATACAACTTGCCTAATAATTCTGCACTCCCTGTAGGCATGACTAGGAGGATTATACAGCCAGCACAATTCGTAAATATGTCTGTTGAGTACATATGACATCTTAACTCTCGCAAAGTTCAGGTGCATTACATTTAATTAACTGCTTGTTTATTTTGACGTCTATGCCTCTACGCAGGCAACCAAATGTTATTTCTATGAATCCGCAATATGCCTGCTCACACTTTATTGCGACTTCAATAAAAATATTCAAAACAAAAAATTAATTGAACGTCCTCCAAATTCAGATGTGAATCTGAGATTCTCTGTATTTTGATTTAGACATCCCACTAGATCAGTGAATTCCTGTGGGGTTCCCTGCCATACCATCAAGATGTCATCGATATAGCGACCCCACCACAGGATCTTGGGGAGATAGTCCTTCAGAGCATCTGAGGAGAAAATCTGCTGTTCCCACCAACCTAGGTGGAGGTTTGCATATGAGGGAGCACAAGCTGTACCCATAGCAGTACCCCTCACCTGGTGGTAGAATTTGGTGTTAAATAGAAAATAGTTGTGTGACAAAATGAATTCTAAAAGGTGCACTAGAAAAGCTGCATGAAGATCATCCCTACAAGGTCTTTGGTTTAGGAAAAAACTTACATGTTCCAAGCCTCTGTCATGAGGGATGGACAAGTAGAGTGATTCGACATCTAAGCTACAAAGATTAGCATTAGGGGACAATTTAAGATTAGATAGCAAATTCAAGGCTTGCTTGGTATCCCTTATGTATGATGGTAAAGTCTCAACTAAAGGTTTCAAAATTTTATCGACATATAGGCTGCCATTTTGAGTAAGATAATCTACCCCAGAGACGATGGGGGTTCTTGTAAATTCTTATGGATTTTAGGCAGGCAGTAGAAGGTTGCTATCCTTGGGTGACGATTAAGAATGAATTCATACTCGTCACCAGACAGCAACCCTCCACTGCGGCCATCGTCCAAAATATCCTTGTATTAAGTCAGATATTCATTGTTAGGATCAAATATCAAGACCCTGTATGTTTCAGCATCACCCAACACATGTAAGGGGAGTATTTATTAAGTACGCTAGTAGAAATAAAGCCACACGTCTTGCCAAATATCTAAACATCACTAACCGCCTCACGGAATTGAATACACTCAATAAACAAACACTCTTAAAGACACACCTTCAAGAGATTAAAGAGTTACGAATACAACTACCATAGCTTGAGGTAGCCAAAACAAATTTTTCATTAAAAGATGACGTAAAGCGAAATTTTATGAACAGGGCAACAGAGCAGGGAAGTTACTTGCATCTAGACTTAAAAAAAGATGCTTAGCCACTAAGGTAGCTTATATCCATAACCCAGGGGACCATAAAATCGTAAATCCAGATATGATAGTACAAGAATTTGCTCAATTTTGCCATAAACTATACAATCTCAAGGGAGACCCCCTGACGTCCCAACTGAAACAGGGACAGAAAGATGAGTTTCTGAGTGAGGTCCAGCGACCAACTCTGCCCACCTCAGCGATCCCCAATTTGATTAAACAGATCTCAGAGCAGGAAGTTAATCACCTGATTAACCTATTTCCAATGGCTAAATTGCCAGGACCAGATGGACTCTCCTCCATCTACTACAAAACT